TAACTTTTTGTCTGAGCGCTTGGCTCATCGGAGCGCCCAGTCTTGTATGTGCAGGAGTGACATTATGACTGGCCGCATTGCCAGATGACATTTAACCTTGGATACAGGGATAAAAGACACTTGGCGTCCCTCTGCTGTGACACCAGACTAACTGATAGATGTTGGTAATGTTGAGGGAGATGTCACACTATGTTTTTTCTCTCATAAATATGTTGGCATAAATTACCATTTCAGTCAACACTTCTGTCAGTGATTTGATAAACCCCAAAACAGTTGGTGGCTCAGCAGGATGAGGCGCTTGTGTTTTCCAAACATCAAGAATTAAAATTTGTCTTTCTGTCCTTTCTACTTCAGTTCAGTGTGCCACAGGATGAGCTGCCAGTCAGCGTGATTTAAGAAAACACACACACACATGCACACACCATATTTGTCAGGAAGACTTTTTAGAATTCATTTGAAAGGTTCAGTCACATATAAACTTCTTTCCTTCTTGTCCTCCCTCCATTTCTTTGTCTCTCTCGCCGTCTCTCCCATCCTTGCCCTCTCCCCCATCCTTGCCCTCTCCGTCTCTCCACATTCTCAACATGCTCTTTACTCCTCACTCCTCTATCTCTTACTCTCTTTTTCCTTTCCCTTCACTTTTCCTTTTCCACCCTCTGGCACACCGTCTTCCTCCTGCCCTTCACTGCCTTGTTTGCTCTCTCCCAGTCTGTCTCTGCTAAACCATGACTGCAGGCCAAACTGTGTGATGGTGTTTGAGGGAACCAAGCTGCAGCTCAGAGCTGTGCGAGATATCAACCCCGAAGAGGAGGTATCAACAAGAAGCAAAAACACTCACATTGCATCTTCACAACATTAACCATGTAGTATGGCAGTTTTTATTGACTCTGATGGTGCCTCTTCTATTATGGCCGTCTTCTTTATGAGCAATATTTATTGAATGTTTTTATTTGTGGTTGTTATAGATGGAGGAGCTGATACCCTAAAGCCATTTTGAATGACACAATCAGAAACTAGAAACCACATTTTCACTGGACACACCTTCACTGTGGTTATTGTCAGAGTAGTGCGGTAGTGATAAATGTTGGTGAAAGTATATTACACTTAATGTTATTACAGAATTGTTCACTGCAGCACAGGCAGAATGACACCTCCATACTTCTTTGTCCCTACTGACTAGATGTAATGAGATGCGCCCACACCATCTGGACTAAAACACACATACCTTCCTACTTACACAAATTCCATCGCAATTCTTAAACAGAGCAAAGCAAATATAACAAAGTGATATATCAGAATGCTAAAATAAAGTAAAAACAAATCAATTTTATCTCAAACAAAACTGTTCTGTCTGTGTCCAGCTCACTATAAGTTACATCGAGACATTGTCGTTGACTGAGGATCGGCAGAGACAGCTGAAGGACCAGTACCATTTTACCTGCCGCTGCCAGCGATGTGACACTCAAGACAAAGTAAGACACACGAAGCTTGAATTACTCCCAAATTAAAGCCTCAGTATGTAATTTAAGGTAGGACTAGCATGAAACTCTAAATTGGTCCATTCTCCTCTGCCCAGCGCTCCCTCTCCCTGCTCCACCATACTCTACTATGATCTATTATGCCACGCTCTGCCCAATTCTGCAGGTATTTGTCATTATGAAATTACAATAAATGAGAATGCAACAAAACTTACTGATCAAGCAGAAAAAAATTGAAAATCTCAGACTGATTAGAGAGGTCAGTCTTGGTCAAAACCTTTCAGATGATACAGTATCTCTGCACTGCTGACAGTGCTGTTCAATGAGTCTGGGTCACAGGAGGCTTTGACAGCTCCTCTCCACAATAATACAAGTTTTGAAGCCTGTTCCTACCATATAAATATTAGAAAAATGTTACTAACTTTAGCTTTAAAGTCATGTTATTTCATTACAGAAGTAAACCATGCTAGGCCGCTAATGTTAGCTTTAGATGCTAACACATCCAGAAGGAAGATGGAGTCCTTTGGCTGCTTTTAACACTCCATCTTAAAAAGCCAAACTGATGTTAACCCTGATTGTTGCTCTTTGTCCCGCTCTCTCTGTGCAAAAGACGCCACCTCTTCACTCTGGCAGCCACTGGTTCAGACTTTCAGCGGCTGGGGGGTCCGCCACAGCAAGCTGTTTGAAATGACTACTCATGATTTGAAAAGCACTTCTTATAAACTTTGCTAAACAGCAGACGGGGGCTAATTTACAGACTTGCTGTCGCCAGCAGACTGTCATGGAGAGGGGTAGGATAGCCGAGAGACACCACATCCTGTCCCATTGTCACTGGGTTTATGAGACAATGTGTAAAATCTTAGTTAGTGCATCTTTAAGATGAAGGAATCCTCCACCTATATTATTGATTGTTAAGCCTTCATCTCAGTATTATAATGATCAATAGTTTGTATGTAAACTTCACCGTTATTGCCTTTTTCAAGTTACACAGTCACACACATACTTGTATTTTTGTCTGTATGAGAAGGTTTTCCCCTAAACCAAACCTAACCCAAATTTCTTGATCTGTTCACTTTCCAAAAAATTTTCTTGAAGGATGTAAAACTGTGGTTTTGACAAAACCAGTTCAAACACACACACATGCTGCAGTTGGCGTATATACAGTCTGTCGGAGCATAACGTGTTACAGTGTGCCCTGTCCTGTCCTCTCCTTTGCCTCCTTTATTCTCACATTCTGTCTCATCTCCTGCTGTCCTCCTATCCCTCTCCATCACTCTGTCACACTCCACCTCTTCACACCTTTTTCTCTTCCCTCTCACTCTGACCACCTACAGAAAAATCGCGTCTTTCAGCTGCAGTTTTCTTTTCCATCCATCTTAATCCACTCCATCTTTCTGTTTTAGTGTTTTGTGTCTCTCTCTCAATCCCCATGCTTTTATTTCTCAGCGTCTTTTTTCGTTTTTGCCTCTGGCTTTGCTCTCTATAGACTGTGTGTGACACTTTGCTCTTACTGTACCACAACACAGCAGCACTCAAAAATGTTTCTGTGTGTTCGAGATAAGGTAAGAGGGAGCAGTGACATTTGTTGTGTTCAACACACCTATGTTCTATATACGACACACGCATGGACATGCTTGCTGGTGTTCTTCCTGTTTGTCTTTAATCTTCAGCTGATGATGGCAGGTTGTGACTCAGAGTTGTTTTGGAGAAAGATGACTGTTGACATTGAACCTGGTGGATGGTGTTTGTATGTTGCTTGTTTTTCTCTGTGCATATGCACGTGTGTTATGATACTTAAACCAGACTGTGTTCTGTAGAACAAATATGTCTCGTCCTCTCTTTTCTAGGATGAACTCATGCTGTTTGGCGACAAAGCAACATGGCGCCTGTTGAAGGAGGCTCTTCCTAGACTGGAAAGGCTGAAAGCAGAGTCAGGTATCCTTTAATGCCAAGATGGACACAGTCTGTGGACAGTAAATGTTGTCATTATCCATCACCCATCACACGATAATGATTCCTTCTGAATAAGTCAGACTTCCTCACTGTTCACATCACACTGTGCATTGTGTTTTGATGTTTGATAAAAATGTTTAACAGGTTCAGACCTTGTAAGCTGACCTGTATTTATTCTGACAGACAGCAGTCAAACAATAACTCAGTAAAGGTAAAGAACATAACTGTGTTGAGTGAGTATATAACCCCCACCACGTTTTTCATTTACTAGTGATTTAAATAGCACTGCCCCCAGTAGTCAAATAGTCAAGTCTCCAACAAATCATATGGCAGCTCGACTTTATTTGGGGAGGCGATGGTGGTGTGTGGGTAGAGCAGTCGTCTCCCAACCGGAAGGTTGAAGGTTCAAATCTTGGTGCCTGCAGTCCACATATTGAAGTGTCCTTGGGCAACACCGTTGCTCGTGATGGCAGCACATATGCATGCGGCGGCCCAGGGCCCTTGGCTCCAAACATAATTTTGTTGTACGTGTCACAATGACAATAAATAAAGCTGCTTCCTCTTATATATCATCAGTTTAAATCTTGCATCATATGCAGCTGGGTTTATTCATTTTTAAAGTCTCAGAAATACTGTATCTTCCTGTTACTCTTTAGCATTTAAATACTGATGCTAATGTGGTTGAAATCATCACTGAAATATATGCCAGTTGATTTTCTGACAGTCTAGGCTATACACACACACACACATATATATTAATAAAAGACAGAAAGAAAGAGCACTGAAGAGCCGACTGACAGTCAGCTGACAAAATCTTTAGGCGGGTACAGCCCTAGAAATAAACCCAAGAGATCCCAGAAAAAGGCTCATACTCCAAATCTGCTTCTTTAGTAGAAGGCTCTGGCCTGTGAGTGAACCTGTTACTCTACCTGGGAGGACAGAGCAGGAGAGAGAGAGAGCAGGAGGAAAAACTCACAAAATAATGCCCTGGCTGAATTCTAACATAATGAAATAAAGTGTATACACAAACTGATTTCAACAAATACAGTATCTGAGATTCCTGTCTTAGGTGATAGGAGTCTGCAGCTCTTGGTTGCACATTTTTGGATGCCTAATATAAATGTCACTCCTCCTTAAATGACCTTCCAGATTGGCAAGCACTGTTCGAGAATTGTAGGCATTTGTTATCAACTGTTGGTGCCGACATCCCTGATGAAAATCTCTACAAGCTCCGAATGATAGACATGGCTTTAGATGCCTCCGTCCACCTGGGACACTGGGCAGAAGCTATGAGATATGGGGAGAAGACACTTCCAGTTTACAGGTAAATGTGTGTGTGCATGTGATAAAACTCTTGGACTGAGAGATGCTGTCTTTCCTGTATGGACAGCAGTGTAATGAAAGTGCCAGAGAAACACTTCTCTTAGTGAAGGCAGACATGCATAGCTATCTTTACCAATGTGGACCATTACTTCAAAGTTATTACTTTAAATATTTGGGCTGCTGCTCAATCCTGATGCCATAATAGTCTTAATGAATTAACTGAAACAAAAAACGATAGTGGAGTTTAAATGGACCCATAGCCTGTAAATCTGCATATCAGATTTCAGTAGCTTGCATCAACCGTTTACTTTTCTTGTTCTGGGTTAGGACCTCCTCCAACACTCACTCGCCCATGTGTCTTGTTTTCTGAGGTGTGAAGCTCAACCTTATCCCCAGTGTGGGTACGTGAGAGAGGAAGAGAGTGAGACTAATTGATCTTGTGTGAAGGGCAGAGCTCTAGTGGAATAGTTGTGCTCTCTCAGACACACCAGTGACAGAAGAGACACAGCAACACATTCTTTCAATAAATAATCAGAAACGGCAGTAGAAAGAGAGATGGTGATGAGAAAAAGGGGATGGAGAGGAACTGAGAAAAATGTGTCTCAAGGAAGCAGAGGTGAAACGGAAGCAAGGTTGAGGGTGTGGTGGGGAGGGCGAAATGAAAGAAGTAACATCAGTGTAAAAGAATCACAAGAGGGGAAAAGTGTGAAATAAAACATAAGTGAATGAGGAAAACGGACAAAAGGAGGACTATAGGAATGCAGTGAGCATTAGCTTGGAAAGGAGAGAGACTAAATGACAGGAGGAGAGAAACACATGCATGAGAAATAAGAGAGTGGGAGGAGGATCCTCCATATTCATCTCCTATCTTGCTCTGGGCTCCTCAGATGAGAGAGAAGAACGATCGCTGCAGGAGTTCTCTCTCCTGTCTTTCCCCTCATTCTGTATTCCTTTCTTATTTCACTCCTTGCAGGTCTTCAGTTTCTCTGTTCACTCTGATGTATTGAGAGTTTTTTCCACACGCCTGTGTGCGAGTAATGCACACCTGCTGCAGGCTGTACATGCTGCTATAGACATGCTCACACATTCATGTGAATTCATGCACATTCATGAAAGCGTGTATGAAGTGTATTCTGTGACTGAACATGTGAAGTACATCTTCACCGAGCAACACTAAAAATGTAAAAAAAAAAAAAACTAGTTTGATAAATCTTTGACTCATTTTGTTGTTTGGTCACTTTTTGTTTTGTTTTCTATTTCTGTGGATAACTTCCCAAAAATAGAAGAAGCACCAGTCCACTGAGATTTTCAGTCCTGCAGTAACAGCTAAAATGTCTTAAATAATATACAGCTCAGTGTAATTAATGGTTTTTGCTTAGTTCCCCCGAGGGAGGACCGATCTGTCTAGAGACACCTTTATCCAAGAACAGTCAACATTAGAGACATGGGTTTTTCTTAGTGGTCTTATTATTTTAGTGTTTTATGCTTGTTGAACTTGCAAGTTTTTACCCTGTCCTGTCTTGCATTATTATTATTCTATTATTGTTGTTATTATTCTACTTTATAGGTTCTTACCTTACCTTTTCTTGTATCTTGTCTTATTGCCCATATTTTTGATGGTGCTTGTTTTACAGTGTGTAAAAACACTTTGGTCAACTCTGGTAGTTTATTAACTATATAAACGAATTGAGGCGAATTGAGCTAAGTAAATAGTTAAACTGGGATTTAACTAAGTTCTTTGTGTTGCTAACAGATGCAGGGCGTAGCATAGAGCTGAACCCTCACAGCTAATGTTTCCTCCATGTTTTTTGTTTTGCTCAATGAGATAATCCATGTTTCTCTCTCAATAAAACAGCAGGCCATGAATCTTTTGTTTCAAACTAGAGCCTCATTAGTTCCACTGCATTTGCCTGGAAAAGCTACACTTTAATACAACTCTTACTTTCTCCTTCTTGCCCCCTATTGTACTTATAGCCAAGAGCTATGGCTTTCTAACTAGCTGCATACGGCAACGGCGTACAGTATTTGTCTTCAATTTACTCTCCCAGAAAATAGGAGGGAAGAATTCATGAGGCAGCAAGTTAATGAAATAATTTTAATTGCTGTGTGGTTCTATATGCAAAGAGGAAATTTAATTGGAGTTTGGTCTTGATAAGTGTGCTTGCATGCATTGCTTGAATCATTTACTTATTAAATAAATATTGTAAGCTGTTACTGTTAATGGAGGACTAATGCTATTGGCTTACTCTTTGAACTTATTATTTAATATTTCATGTATACCCAGAGGCTTGGAGACCACCTCTGTAATTGGTGAGCTTGCAGTTAATCGGCTTGAAGGCACGAACAACCGCGCTGTTAGCATTGAGAGTGAAAACTGCTGGAAAATTAGCAGAGAAGCTAGAGTTTTAAATTCCTCCTCCTGTGGCCACAAAAAGTTAATTAACATTGATTGCACTCCATTCAGAAAACAGATCTTCATTTCAAGTCAAAGAGTGTAAAACTCGTAGCCTGAGAAGCTTGTTGTTTTCAGTCCAGAAAGAAAAAACTCAGACCAGTTTGTAGCAGACACAGCGCTGTTTCTATGTGATTGAACTGGGAGCACATTGAACCCTCTTGTGGTGTGTTTACTCTGTAGAGGAGTGAAGTCAGCCAAATACCCCTGGTTACACAGGCTGAAGTAGATTCAAATTAACCTTTGTGTGCAAGCATGCTCATACATTAACACTGTTGTGTGTCTTTGTTTGCTTACAACTCTTTTTGTGTGTGTGTCTGAGAGTATCTGAGAGAGTAAGAGAATGGAAATGGAGAAGAGTTTGTGCTTTTTGGGTGTACATTTTAATGCTGTCTTATAACGGTAATGTCAATCACATGAGAAGTGGAAAGGAGAACAGAATCAGAATCTGGTTTATTGGCCAGGTGTGTCAGACACACGAGGAATTAGACTCTGGTACATCGGCTCTCAGTGTGTATGTACATATCCCCATGCAAGGGGCAAGTAAACAGTAAATCAGCATAAGGCTGTGTATTATAACAAAATAAACAGTATTAACAAGCAACAAAACAACGCAAAATAAGCAGTATAAACAGGCAGAAAACAATGCAGACAGACAAAGGAATGCTCATTGTGAAACGAGATAACTAGGAATAAAAATAAATAGAACAGGAAACACAGTGAAGATTTAAAAGGGCAACCGAGGTAGAGTGGAGGTGAACGGAGAGAGGCCACTGACTGACATCACAAAGTTGAACTCCTACAGCTAACAGGGCAAAAAGCACAAATATAAACAGGCAGGAGCCCGTGAAATAGGAAAGGGAAGGAGAGCTTAGAGGAGAGGGATGTAGAAGAAAAAGATTGGTGATAAGAGTGGAGTAAATGAGTGTTTTGGGAACTCCTCTGTTTGCCAGCAACACAGCTGCTTCCTAAAAGTCCCTGGTGTGTGTTTATCTTTATAGGACAAGGAATGTCCCAGTTTGTGTGTGTGAATTGCCTCGTAAAGCATGTATGTTTGTATAGTTTTGTGGGGTGTACTCTTTATACAAGGTCATCAAGCATCAGTGTGCACACAGATGGACACAAACTATAAATATTTGCATTTTAGCTGCATTTCAAGATGAGTAACAATGCACAAAAACAACATGGACACAGAGGAACAGTCACACAATACATTTGTGTGAATGCATTTCAAGATGAGTAATCATTTTCCTATGTGCATACTGCCTGTCTGCGTTGTGGGAGTCTCTTAATGTCAGGTTATTGATCTGTCTGATCAGAACTTTGGCTCTGTCACCATGGATACACATCCCCGATCCAAACCTTGACATAAAAAGAGCAGTGCTCGCTCTTTCTGGAATTGAAAGATGAATATCTCTAGAAGGTACATGTTTGTGTGGATAACAAGCAGTGTATTCATGAATAAATACACCAACACTGTGCACAGGTGCACTGAATACTGTAGAAAGAAATTCTTGATAAAATGATATAGTTACGGTGGCCGACACGGTCACAACACATGCAAAAGACACAACACATGCAAGACACAAACGCGGTATTGAACAAAACACATGCAAACGGAAAACGCTGCATTAACCAAAAAAAACACATGCAAGACAGAAACGCGGCATTAAACAAAACACATGCAAAAGGAAAAC